GCCGTCGTCTTTGTTGTTGCTGTCGTCGTCATCATCATCATCGTCGTCGATGTCATCGTCGTCGCTATCGTCATAATCGTCACCATCGCCGTCAGTGTGATCCTAGTTATCGTGCCCGATACATCGTTCTTCCGTTTACCTCGAATATCGCTTTAGGGTGTCGTGCGACGTATCGGGCTACCAAATTACACCCTTTCGATGAGATCGCGCGTGGTTATCCTGTGGCATGTGTGAAATTAAGAAGAACCACGCTACATTCGAATACCACTTCTGATTATTATCGGTTGCGTTCGAATTTCCTTCAAGCACGAAGACTACGATTTGTCATTCATTCGCGTATCGTGACTATGTGAACGTGTATTTCGATGTGAAGTGATTCTCAGTGCCAACTTCGATATTGTCTCGATCATATTTCGTTGCTACACCGTCTGTTTAATGTTCCATCGTTTCGTCTGCGTTCCTGTACGACGTGCTGCGATCTGTTTCTCGTGCCGGTGGTGATACATGCTCCGGTATATCAATGTATGTCACGTGTCTGTACCGTCGTCCTCGTCGCCGCTATCACGGGATTTCGGGTCGTCGGCTCGTGGAGATGCTTCGTGACTCTTCGAGAGAGTCTTAAGGAAAACACCGCCGTTCGCCGACTTGCTTTCTTTGGATACCACCGATATTGGATAAAATACGGACGATTAAAACGACAAGGTGAGAACATAGAATACGGAATAGCAAAGCATTATCCTTAAACTAAGCGACGAACGCGACAACCGATCTGTTTTCAATTTCTTCGCTCCTGTTACGATTCGTAAATCGAGTTAATGTGTCGAGGCAAAAATTGCTAGCACTCAAACATCGGCAAACGATTTCCCATGTAACCAAACGAATTTAGATGCGAATTTGTGTAACGATACTCGGCGTAATTTCTGTAAGCATAATCGTTACGCTAGCATCGATAATTCGAACTGTTTGTACGTACAAGTGAGACGATGCGAGCTGACGATATTTGCATAAAACTCGTACGGAACGTGACGATTCGTAGCACGAGCTCGTGTGCAATTACGTGCACGCGAAGCAGCAGAAAACCCCGTTGAAAACGAAATTCAACGAGTTCGAGGAGTTCTCTGGATTTTTATTTCATCGCGCGTCACTTGACACAGCATGTCGGTATATCGAGGAAACGGCGAAACTACGAACGATAATGAGGAAATTACCGGAGCAGTGAACCAACATTCCATACGATTGGATATAAGAGACTGTGTAAATTAAAGTGGCGACGTAATTGGAAGCAAAAACGATCTAACGTACTCAGAGACAGGTAGATAGATTGCAACGAACCGCACTGACAATGAGAAAATATGATCGAACCAGTTGTAGAACAAATTGCACGACTATATTGACTTCGCGAAAGTAATTCCTATTTCTGTCGAAGAGCCTGTAGTACTAAATCCGAATCTGATCGATTTGCGTGTATTCGTCCGAATAAGAATAGCAGCGCGAACGTTATAAACGTTAAAATACGTATAATATGGTCCCTTGAACGAGCCAGGTATTCGGTGTACGAAAGAAATAACAATTTCACCGCGGCCGTCGTTGTCCTCGTTGTCCTTGCTGTTTATTGGTCATTGTTGTCCTTCGTTAATATCTTGGTAATCTTCAGAAAACTTTCGAATAGACTCGTCCACTCGTTCGCATAACGACGTAAAAACTTCTCTCCTGAACGTGCAATTCAAGTTCAGGTGTTCCATGGTCGTGCATGAACGTTGGTTGCGCAACTGTTTTTAAGAAAAAAAAGATGGAGGAGGGACTCGCGAGTTCTATGTGGTCATCAATGGCTCGCGATGACGGATCGTAAAGAAAAAGCGATCTCGAGTCAAGGTCGGGCTCGTCGAAAGGCGTCTTTACGTTCGCCATTTCGTATTCATGTGGTCATTATCTGCCGGATATATTTATGTTGCGCTCTCGCATAGTCAGTGCATATAGAACTTGCATCGACGCAAATATTCCGATGCAAACAGAAATTACGGTCAAGTTTGAAAGGTGAACCAGTCGAAATTCCGAGTTAACGTTAATCTACTCTTTTATCGATGCGATCAGCGTGCATTCTTTTTGCCGGCTTTCATAGAAGAAAATTTTGTCTCTTTCATAGAAGAGAATTCTCCCTGGAGGTAACACTCTTTCGAATTATCTCACATAGAACGCTTCGGCGAATGAAGCAGAATACATGCCCCTTACTTTCACATTACATTTTCTAAACAAATTATTTATGCGATTGCGTCACTCGTGATATTCGAAGCGTACGTAGAAATAAATATTTCTTTACGCAAACTACAAAATACTTTACAGATGCCATATACGGTAGTGTTCGCTAGATGATTAGTAAGGCTAGTGAAAGGCGAGTTCGGTTCCATTAAGACAAATTTGATCGGCACATCGAAAAGAAAATATTTTCATTCGTACCGAGATAACCGCGTGTTCGAGTAACTCGACTTGTAACAGGTGTATTTACGAACAATCTACCATACAGACGATTTATTATTAAACAAATAGTAATATCCATTAAACAAAAAGCTTGAATATCTGTCGCGCAATTTTCAAGCACATGTTTTCAACGGCCGAGTAAATAGTAACGTTTCAGCGCGAATCTCGATCGCTTTTATCTACGTTACATGGTCATTGATCAGTAGATCATTGATTCGTTTAGCGGAGGACGATCGGCTGCCGTAAAAACGATTAATTAACGAGAAGCTGGTAAACGAGTATCGAGAGTTCGATGGGCCACGATATTCGATATCCGATATTCGAAAACAATGTCGCGTGCCTCTTACGTTCTATTTGATATCGATCGCTTCTCGATAATCGATACACAACCGACTAAATCCATCGTGAATCACGTCCAATTGACGTTACGTAAGATAAGTGTACGTTTTCTTCGCTTAATTGCGATCGGCAGGTAACACGTGCATTTTCTATCTCGCTATTCTTTAAACCGTTTTACGAACGTCGACCGCGTTGTATTTCTCGTGCAGACCTCGATCGTTCTATCGTTCGTCCTATTTCTATTTTCCTATTTGTTACGAACGTTCGATTTCTCCTGTGATATTGGAAATTAATTTCATGGTCATAGATGGGATTAAATCGGAACGAAACTGCAACGCGTAGCATTATCGCTCTATAGAAATGTTGGCAGTTGATAGCAAAACTCGATTATCGCGGACCGATTGTAACTAATATAGGTGCCGCGAGATAACTATAATCACGCGCAGGCACAGTACGAGTATAGTATATTTAACACGATTGCATTTTTTTCTGTTAAGCGTTAAGCAGATACTCATAGCGTGGCAATAACATCCGGCATAATATGGATGTATAAAAAACACATCGTAGATCGGCCTATTACGATTTAGTACCTACAACGTTATGATATTGGTTTGAAAAAAAACATTCGCGGGCATGCGAATCTCGCCCGGATGGGAAATACGTCACAATCGCAAATTGAAATTTATCCTTTGACAACGTCTAGTAGATTTCGCTATGCGTCCGCTTGTTCAACTCGTCGAACGACGAAAAGATGGATGAACGAAGAGGAACGTCGGTACGCGATCGACGAGCATTTGTATAAAAGAACGTTGAATTTTCTACGTAGGTTGCCGGCGTGTCTCTCGACCATTTTCACCTTCCACGGTCCGCCTGCGGTTGCTTCCTTCTCAGACGTTTCTTCGCCGACGATAAGACGGTTATTAAGACGCGGTCTCGCGGCGTAGAGGCCTCGGATTGGTCGAACGTTTCGATGTGTAGGGCACGTTAAATGAAGTTGCAATTAAGAGAGCTAAAAGCTGCGCGGCTGACTATGCTTCTCAAGGCCTCGGGCCTCGCCAGAGCGTACTTCCGCTTCTGATTAGCTTCCTCTTTTCCCACATCGTCCTCGCCGTTTTCTCTCTCTCCCTCCTCCCCCCCCCCTCTCCCCTGTCCTCTCACCGCTATTCTTTCTCTTTCCTTTTCTCCTCCTCTTTTTACTCGGTTTCCTTTTCGCATCTCTCCCTACCCTGCTCTCCCTCCCTCCCTTCCTCTCTCTTCTTTTCTCCCTTTTTCTCTCCCCCTCGTGTTTCTCTTTATCTCTGCAGGTCTTATCTCGTACCGTGGGAATCCGCGCG